TGTCACTGCCACCACCAAAAAGAGGGAAGGAAAGGAGAGACAGAAGGGTGTTTGACCACACTTTACAATTGCGGAGGAGAAAAAAAAAAAAAAAACGCTTCTAACAATTTTGGCGTCAGATCATTTCCAAATGACGGTTTGTAGCTGTTGGAGCTTCTATCAGCACGAACTAGAGGGGAGAAGTGCCTGGTGGTGCATCTTACCTGAGAAGCATAGTTTAGGAAGATGTAGGTGAAGCACAGCAGGAGCCCCAGCCCCTGAATCACAGAGGCCACCAGCAATAGCTTGTTCCTCCCAAATTTCAGCCTTGGCACATTTCCCACATTCTCGTCCAAGGATTGGGCCCTTTCCATCTTCCCACTCTGGATGCAGTGAAGATGAAAGCTGCAGCAAGAGGACCCTCTTGCTGACTTCTTCCCCACAAAAGAGGAGATGAAGGTGAAACAAAGAGTATCAATCAGAAGATACACAGAGGTCCCAGGACCAGAGATGAAAGGCAATTGAACCAGCAGAGAGGACTCTGTCAGTTTTAACGCTTCAGCTTTTGCAGGCAGGCGGGGGGACTTCTTTGTGACTAATCTAAATTCCCCTTTTTTTTTTTTTTTTTTTTTTTTTTTTTTTTCTCCTCTGGGCTAACAGGGAGTTGTTTTTGTGGCATTCCAGTTCAGATTTGAGTGAATGTGAAATGACAGTCATAAAAGTGTGCTATTTTCTTAATTTCTCATTGTGCTCATTGCCCAGATTGTGGGTCCTTGTAAAGATAAAAATCATCTGTTGGCATAGGATCTCATATATCTCATTCCTGAAGTGTCTTAAGTCTTAGAAGAGATTTAAGAAAACTATTCACATAGATTCTCACCTGCCTTTTACTAGGTAACTAAGCATTGGATCTATTTTACAGATTCAGAAACTAAAGCACACACAAGACCATTCTCGAAGTGAAGAAGAGACAAAAGAAAATGGGATGGTGAATCATGTAGAAAGAAAGGAGTCTTCTAGCTACAGCCCATTACGTTGTAATGAGTAAAGGAGTATTTATTGAGCATCTACTACTATGTGTCAGACACTATGCTAGACAGCCTCTCAATCTTTTTCTCATTTAATCCATTGAGGCAAATTCCATAAACACTTGCATTATTAGTTTTAAGCCTGTTAGAACAGAAAAGAAGCAGAAAAGTACTCTGATTTTCCCCCTTTCCTATATTTTACCTTTTCCCCACACTAAATTTTTGCATGGATGAATACATGAGTAGATTCAAGTAAGTTTTGAGGGTAGTTCTTTTCTTTTGAGGTCAGAGCTGGATTCAGAATTTTGAAAGTAGGAATATTCTACTGATAACCTTGCTTGTCCTTTACTATTGAAATAAAAACAGCTATGATGAAATTATTTTAAAATGTACCTTCAAATCTACAAATATATACAGTCCCCATTACAAGCTCAGTGCTGTGCTGGACGATGAAGGGATGCTAGGGAGAGACAGAATATGAGTCACTCAAGAAATATTAAAGAATATTTAAAGGAAGTGTATTTGGATAGCAACAATATGAGATGTTATATGTAACTTCATTTTGCAGAAGATGGACATGAAGCATATTTAAATTTGTGGAAAATGGAAAGTATGTTTACTTTTACCATATTAATCAATTAAAATATGGCTTAATACCCTCTTTACGATACTTAAAAGAGCTCTGGTGGTGCAGTGACTAAGACATTAGGCTGCTAACCAAAAGGTCGGTGGCTCAGGCATACTAGCCGCTCTCTCTGCAGGAAAAGATGAAGCAATTCACTTCTGTTAAGATTTACAGCCTTGGAAACCCTATGGGGTTGCTATGAGTCAGAATTGACTCAATGATACTGGGTTTGTTTAGTTTGGTTATTGGTTACAATAATTATGTCTTGCATTTGGAAAACATACTGCTCTTCAGAACCTCAAGGTTTTATCTGATAGATAAAGTAACTGAGGCACGATATCATAGAATTTAAGCCAAAAATAGAAATCAAGCCTCTATCTAAGCTTATCTCTAAATAATTATTCCCACAGCCACATAAGAATAAGAGTAAAATGTGAGGGTAGGGAGAGAGAAAGAATGCAAGAAAAAAAAAAAAAAGTGTGAACAGCCCAGTTCTTGTGTAACAGTTGACAGTCAAAACTAAATGTACTCATTTTTTTACTTATTTATTTTGAAAAACAATGACTGAAAAAAATCACTGCCAAAGAGCCTAAATTGCTATTGGAAACTGCCAAGATGAGCTGAAAAAGAAATAGTGAATACTATTACTGATGAAAATCATCGTAAGTATTTTTAACTGACTGTCAAAAGGCTGAAAAAATAAACATCTATAAAGCACATAGGAATTCTGGTGGCGTAGTGCCTAAGGCATTTTACTGCTAACCAGAAGGCTAACCAGCCACTCCTCAGAAGGAAGGTTGGGCAATCTACTTCCGTAGTGATACCGCCTCAGAAACCCAAAGAGTGGTTGCTATGAGTCGAATCCAACTAGATGGCAGTGAGGTTTGTTTGTTTCTTTGTTTGTTTCTTAATATATAAAGCACATACTTGAGACCTGGTGGCTCAGTGGTTAAGTGCTTGACTGTTAACCAAAAGGCCAGTAGTTCCAACCCAGAAGCTACTCCTCAGGAGAAAGATGTGGCAGTCTGCTCTAAGCCTTGGAAAGACAACAGCCTTGGAAACCCTATGGGGCAGTTCTGCTACAGGGTTGCTATGAGTCAGAATCAACTTGACAATTTTGTTTTGTTTGTTTTGCTTTTTGTGCCTTGAGCAGCACTCCTTTTCATCATTAACATCCTGGCTTCTATGAAGAGAAAATGACAGTTATTGCTTTTCCCCACAGACAATGAGAACTGTGTAGCTGAATGAATTGCCATTCTTATATTGTCCCAAGAAAGTACAAGGTCAACTAAACCAACATTTATCCATATCTACAACACACACTACATATCCTTGTCTCAGCCTCCTACTACCATTTTTTGTTGTTGTTGTTGAAGTGATATCTTGTGATTTAATTTTTTTCTTTTTTCCCTGAATACATTCACAGTTGCTTCAATATAAATATATAAATAAGTAAACAAACAAATACATATATACAAGTTGTGTTGGAAGTTCCAAGCAAGACCTGTTGACAGTCTTTGTGAACATTCCAAAGCTCATCATTGGGCTGATGTAGCATTCTGAACAAATGACACCATCATCAGAGCGATCGCTGATGGCATTTCTATTTTGAGCAGGTTGGTGGAGCTCCCATCCTCAAAGCTGAAATGTTTTTAAAGAGATCAAGTATGTTTCTTAAATCGATGGACAGTTTTTAAACATCTCATAAAGATCAAATGTCTGATAGAATTAAAAACAAATCTATATTAGTTCCTAGGGCTGCTTGAACAAATACTATAAATTGGGTGCCATATAAGAACAGAAATTTACTGTATCATTGTTTGCTAGTTTGTTTTCTTCTCTTGTAAAAACAATATTCTGATTGGATTAAAATCCACCCTATTCCAGTATGATGTCATACTAAGCCCAAAACCAAACCCACTTCCATTGAGTCAATTCCAACTCATAGTGACCCCTGTTGGGTTTCCAAGGCTATAAATCTTTATGCAAGCAGACTGCCTCATCTTTCTTCCACACGGCAGCTCGCAGGGGTTCCACCAGACTCTATGGACCAGTAATTCTTGTTATTTTTTTGGTTTTGAATTTTGTTCCACATTTTCCCTCTCTATATCCAGGATCTCCAGTTTTGATCCCTTTCTCATTGGTTAGCACTGGTACCTGGGTACCATCTAGTTCTGGTCTCAGAGTCATGAAGGCTGAGGTCCTCGTGGTCCATCTTATCCTTGGATTAATTGTTCCCAGATGCCCTTGATTTCTTCATTCTTCTTTGATTCAGATGAGAAAACACCAATAGTTGCATCTTAGATGTTCGCTCAAAAACTTTTAAGACCCCAGTTGCTACTCACCAAAGTAGGTTGTGGAACAAGATTTTTATGTACTATATTGTGCCAATTGAGTATGATGTCCTCCGAGACTTCTGAGTCAGCAGGCCTGGTGATTCTCTTTCTCAAGGTGTTTGGTTGTTTCCAAGAAGTAACTCCAGCTCTGCCTTCTGTAATGTCAAAACCAGACCAAATTCAATGCCATTGAGTCAACTCAACTCACAGCAACCTCTCCTTGGGTTTTCAAGGTGGTATCACTATGGAAGAAGATTGCCCAATCTTCCTTCTGAAGAATGGCTGGTGGGTTTGAACTGTCAGCCTTCTGGTTAGCAGTCAAATGCCTTAGACACTGTGTCACCATTGTAGCACAAGTGCATGGATAAGATTATTTTCAACCAAATCTATCCTTGGTCTAGGATATAATCCTGTTTGTTTACCCCCACCTGATCTTCTCACCTGTCTATGTATCCATCCATAGCATGGTGCTTGGTGTTAGTGGTAATACAGTATTGTGCATATACTAGTATACGTCTCTGTTGTCTGTATCTTATGTTTATGTTTCAGTGCCTTCCTCTCCCCAGTGTCATCATGCTGGTCACAGACACTTTCTATACTGTCCCTCCCCTCACCCAAATCAACATGTGACCCCCAACTAGTCTGAAATTTTTCCTCCCTTTCCCTCCCATCCCCAGTAACTAACAAAGTGAATTTCCTTCCTTAAGTAAACCTTTCCTTGACTTTTTACAATAATGGGCTCATACAATATTTGTCCTTCTGTGGTTGACTTATTTCATTCAGCATAATGTCCTCCAAATTCATCCACATTGTGAGATGATTTGTGTATTCTTCATTATTTTTTGATGTTACATAGTATTCTATTATGTGAATGTACCATAGTTTGGTTATCCACTCATCTGTTGATGGCCATTTAGGTTGTTTCCATGTCTTTGCTATAGCGAATTGTGCTGTGAGGAACATGGGTGTGCATATGTCTGCTTGTGTCCTGTCTCTCACCTCTTTAGAATATATTCCTGGTAATGGAATAGCTGGATCAAATGTTATTTCTATTTCCAGTTTTGTAAGGAAACACCATACCATTTCAGTCCCACCAGTGGTGTACAAGAGTTCCAATCTCTCTGCAACCTTGCCAGCATTTCTTATTTTCTGTGTTGTTGAAATTTGCTATTACTGTTGGGGTGAGATGATACCTCACTGTTTTTATTTGCATCTCTCTGTGGGCAATGAGTTTGGTTTGGTTTAACAGCTAATGATCATGAGCATTTCCTCATGTGTTTGTTGGCTGCCAGTATATCTTCTTTAGTGACGTGTCTGTTCATGTCCCTTGCCCATTTTTCAATTGGGTTGTTTGTCTTTTTGATGTTGAAATGTTGAAGTTTTCC